GAACTGCTTTTGGAAACCATACAACTGTTATTTTCCCATCAAAGTAAAAGGAAGCTTGTTATTTTATTTCTTTCATATTTTTGTAGGCTCATTTCCAGATGCGCAGTTGCCTTCGAAGAGAATCCTCGGCCCCAAGAATTACGAGTTCCTCACATCGAAGCGGGAGGAGTTCCAGGAGTACCTTCAGGTAGATGTCTGAGAAGATAGGACACTTAAGACTTACTGGATTTTAGTAGACATGTATACAAAATACAGATTGTGTGTGATGGGTCAGGAGATGAGCCAGAATGTAACCACAAACATCCTATTATAGATAATGTCCCAGTGCAGAGAGATGCAGATTATCTAAACACACAGCTGTGAGTGCAATCTCTGTGCAATGAAAGTGGTCCCAGTCATTTTCAATGAGTCACATTTGAACATGTGCCACTTTCCCATTAAACATCGTTCAATTCAAGCATTTGTTCCAAGTACACCAACATATCCAGTTTCAGAAAATAACCTTTTAAAAAGGGGATCATTATGAAATTGTGAAGAACAAATGGTACTGTGTGTCAGGACCGTGGATGGGTTAAATCCTTGTTCTAAATGGAGAATAAATTATCTTTCTGTTTCATTTGGCAGCTGCAGCTGTTCAAAACACAGTTCAGTCTCTTAGTTGTAGTCCACTTTTCATAGCAGTGCATTCAAAGGACCCTCTGACAAGATTTGAGACTTGGCTGTGAAACATTTATGCAGAAAAATGACCAAAATAACAAGACAAAGAGTTTACAGCCATGCTAGCAGCTCAAAAACATAAGCTCATCTGAGGCTGATGGGGATGTCATTAGTTTTGCAGCAATTTGGTCATAAACCAAAGTACTGGAAAAATACAAATTTGACCTCATGGTGGCCCAAGACAACAAAGAAATGCAGATTGCCAAAGTAATTACAATTCATCCTGAGGGGGACATGAATGTCTATTCAAAATGTAATGTCAATCTTGTTGTTGAGACTGACAAACCAACATGTGGATATTTAGAGCATGCTGACATTAATGGACAGAAGAGGCTTCTTTGAGGACTGGAAGTTAATTAAAAACCCTATTATATATTCTGGAAAATGTTCGGCAATAATATAAATCCGTTGATAAAACATACAAGACCCCATGTATGTGTATGGGCCTACAATCTGTTTCTTTACAAAATGAGTAAACCATCACAGCAACCTGAGTAATATACTGTACCTGCTTTTACTGAACTTTGCTTCTAATGTTTCATATATTTAAAAGCCACAGATAAGGTCCTCGGTTGTTTATTTACATGTGTTTTTCTTGCAGAAACTTCTGCAGCACCCGGAGCTGAGTAACAGTCAGCTCCTCGCCGACTTCCTGTCCCCTTATAGTATAGAGTCTCAGTTCCTGGACAAGATGTTACCTGATGTGAACCTGGGTACAGTATGACTGTGACAAAGCACAGTGAGATGGATTATGTTTGGACAGCAGAGCATGTCAAACTGACAGTGGAAATGTTTGAACAGACTGACCTTGGGTTGCAGTGAAAAGATATTTGAGTTTCAGTCGGAGGTAAAATGTGACCGAACCATGCATCACTGAGATAAAGTATTTATGTTCCACAGGGAAAATCATTAAGTCAGTTCCCAGCAAACTGATAAAAGAGGTAAGAAATGCATTCCCATTGGTGTGTGTGTGTGTGTGTGTGTGTGTGTGTGGCCTGATTTATTTCTCTCTATCTACAATACAAATGTCTCCCATCGTGGCAAATTGAAGCAGTCACTTCTGTATTTTTTTTTTAGATCCTTAACAGTGCATTAAACATTTTTATATGACAAGTACATAAGAGAAACTGGAATTGTAATTTCGACATATTGTATCCTGTGCTTTCTCTGTCAGAAAGGGCAGCATCTGGAGCATTTCATCCAGTCCTTCTTCAACTCCTGTGAATCTCCCAAACCCAAACCCAGCCGTCCTGAGCTCACTATCCTGAGCCCCACCTCGGAAAATGATAAAAAGGTGGGGGATTCAAAATGTATAACTTCCTTCCTTTGACTTTATACTCAACTTTCTGGTCTATAAACCCAGAGTCCAATTGAGCTTTACAGTTCACGGTTTTAGAGAGTTTTCAGAACACAGTTATGGTTTGCATCTGCCAGTGTACATCACTGTAGGAAACTGTTTTGTTTCTTTGTGTTGTCTTGATAATGACAGTTTTCAGTTGTCTATTCGCTCAGCTGTCTTCAAATAAAAGACTGAAACTGGACCTTAAAGAAGTAAAGATAGAAATTCAACTTCACAGCCAGTGTGGTTGCTTTAGTTTGAGACATCTTGCCACTTGAGCTTCATGCACATGGTCTTATATCATATTCACACTATGTGGGGAAATGTTAATAAATTTTGACTTTATACAAAACTTGCCAGAGGCTGAATCTATTGGATCGTAGAATGCTTCATAGGTTTTGACCTGCTTAAACACAATTCAGTCCATTTATGCCCAATTTAATATAAATGTCTACTTAAATAAAGCTCCAGAACAAATGTTTCATCGTCTCAAAATGCAGGGCAATTAACCTACTGTCATTCAGGCTAAAATGAAGAAAGATTTTTGTGGCAATATTTCATTGTTGGGATTTTGTTTAAAAATCTAAACAGAAATTCCACATTTATCTCAACAGACTTTTATCAGTCATTCAGATTAGAAACAGGTTGTAGAAACAGGAAGTCAGGATTGTGATGTTATGGTTTTAAATTGGCTTCAGTCTGATGTAAATCCTAAAATTCCCCAGCTCTTCAACGACGTCTTCAAAAACAACGCCAACCGATCAGAGATGACTGAGAAGAGACACAATCAGAACTACTTCTTGGAAATGATCAATGTTGAAGGGCTGTATGACTACTTAATGTTTTTGGGTAAGTGACTTCTCCTGGAGGTTTTATGAGCCGCTTCAACACATTTAGTATGTCGCCACCATTACAGCACAAACAAACGCAGATGTCTCATACACACAGTTTTATAACAGCAGCTAGCTGCAAGTTAAACTAACATCATTAACCTTATGGGACATCTGCATTGAGGTTATGATAATTTGTTTGGTTGTAATAATTGTTTTATTGTATTGGAATATTATTTAGACAATGTTAAATCTAGTAATGATAATATCTTTATGTATATAACACAAACAGAATAAAGGAGTGTTTTACAGTAACACCAGGAATCAAAAGGTGAATACAATGTATCAACATTTGTATTAAAAGACATTGCTGCCTTGTTAATGTACCCTTGGACCCCTGATGTAAAGCCCATCACTCACTCACACACTCTTCTTCTCTGTCCTTTTTCCTCACGGTTGTCAGGCCGAGTCCTCTTCCACATTCCCGACTGGCTGCACCACCTGTTGATGGCTGGCAGGATCCTGTTCAAGAACACCCTGGAAGCCTACACGGATTACTACCTTCAGCACAAACTGAACCAGGTGGTCCAGGAGCACCGGCTAGTCTCGCTCATCACCCTGCTAAGAGGTAAGTTGGGGGGGAAAAAAAATAAAAAATCATGTGTATTTTCCAAACATGCTAATTTAATGAGGTAAATGATTTTACATGATTTTTGCCATTCTAGACACAGTTTTCTGTGAGAGCAGTCTACCCCGCTCCCCTCAAGACCAGCAGAGGAGGGCCAAGAAGACATTTGAGGAGATGATGACCTACATTCCAGGTATTCATTCGTTCTTCAAGGCAGTGATTTGTAATTTGTAGACAAACTAACTGTTGACATTCTTAACTTAAAAGACAAATGTTCAGATTTGAGAACATTTGGATTCACAAGAAATTCACAAGCGACTTATCTTTAGACTTTCTGGGGAAATGTATTGGAGAAGAGGCCAAGTATGAAGGGGTGCGTCTTCTCTTTGATGGACTGCAACAGCCAGTTCTCAACAAACAGGTACACACGGACACACACACACTCACACACAATATGTAAACCACTATTTTAGTTTTTCCAGTATGTTTGTACTTCACTGCTGGAAAGCGTATCTTGTCAAGACAAAAAACAACACTCATGCCTGGGTGTTACACACTGTAACATTGGATATGGCAAACCCCAAATCTTTTTAATGTTTTGTCTAATATAATTGTAATATCAAATTTCCTGCAGTTTAGCATTTGTATATTGTTTTAAAAATATGTCTGCAGTTTGTATTCAAAGATCACTGCTGTTAAAGGAATACTTCACCCACAGAATGACCATTTGTATATCAATTACTCAACCTGTCTTACCTTAAAGTCTTGAAGAAAACTGTTTTTCTTGCATGCCCCGGTGTAGGAGGAAAAAACGCAGGAAAGATGAATTTAAGTAAAGTGCCCACTACTTCCCAAACACGTACATCTATGCCAAAAACTTACTATTTAAACACTTTTGAACAGTTTGTAAACAAATGTTTTGACATAGTTTTGCTGTTGTTAAATGTGGCCCCAATTTACTTCAATTCTTCAAGAATTTTCTCCGTATTTGAATGGAGGCATGAGAGAAAATCTATTTTTTTCAATAATTAAAGGTAACACAGGTTGACTAATTGATTTACAAACGGTAATTTTGTGGGTGAAGGATTCCTTTAATGCTCCCTACTTTTGGTCTTCCTCAGTTGACTTATGTGCTGTTGGACATCGCCATTCAAGAACTTTTTCCTGAGCTAAACAAGGTAAATGGATGTTAGCCTTAGTTTCTAAAGAACATGGAGTCTGAACATCCACCCATCATCTATACTGGATTGCCCTTTGCAGGGTTGCAGGGGGAATCTGATATTTGACTCATGCCAAAATCCCTAAAAGTAGCTGCAGAGATATCGTATCATGAAGTTACATTTATTATTGTATTTTCTTTAGCAGAGTATTATTATAATAAAAGTATGCTTGATGATAAGAAATAAGTATTTATGACTCACTGTTCAATTCTATTATACACTTTAAAGTGTTTAAATTTCTGCATATTTTTGCCAGAATACTTATATGGACTTATGGAGTTTTGTTTTTCATCCAGACAAGACTTGTTGTTTATTGAATGTGTCTTACTATAAGGCAAAGAGTTTGATTCCATAGATTAAAATCTTATCTTTTATATTTGATTTTCTCAGTGCGTATGTGATACTTCAGTTATACATTGCAGTTATTTTGAAGTTACTTATTAGAAAACTAATTCAAGATGTATGCACATTGTTTGGATGTATTTGGGGCTGTTGAAATGTAACACTTTGATGTACAGTGTTAATGTTTTAATTAGTAAGATTTTTTTCTACATAATCATTGCGTAATTAATAGCAGAATAATATTAACATGCATTGTATAGTATTTAAATCTTCAAAAAGTCATACTTATATAATGGAACACCTATTTGACGACAAAGACGGTCTGTTTTATTGCTTAGGCTGTGTTTGTTTGTTTTCCGCAGCAGGTACAGAAGGAGGCCTCTGTGATGGCTCCATGGATGTAAGATGGACTTCAATGGACATGAGCTGTTATGCTTTCTAGGCATTAACCTAAAGCTGAAACGCCTGAAGAGACTTGTGTTGGTTTGGTTACCTGAACCTAACATAGATCACATGTACAGTATCTGACCTGGATATATGCCACAGCAAGAAGAGGAAATGAGGCTTCTCCTGCTGTATGTATCATTTATTTTGCAAAATAAATTATAGAAACAAATGACAGTGTAAAGTCTTAACTATCAAAGCCAACAGTGTAAAAGTGTGCATCTGTTCGACAGCTGCAGTTGACTGTAGTAAAACTTTAAATGAATTCCTTTTATAATCTACTATTTTAATGTTGAGCACATTGTGGTAAGGCCACAGATGTGAACTGCTATGAAACTATTGCCTCTCATTAATGGTCCTGGAAACAAACAAACTATGCTTTATTATCTCACTAAAAAGTAGAATGTTGCCTTGCTTTTACATTCATGTTAGTAATATCCAATACATTTTTACCATTTTCATATTTAATTTGTTGAAGTTGTAAAATCTTGCATACATGTGTGAAAGGTGTTATTAGAACTGACTGACTATCTACCCAGAGGTTGAACCTGCAATCCTATTGTCCTTGAGTTGGCCTTGAAGGCAGCGAGATGGAAAGGCAGTCAACCAAGTCCCGGAGGAGTTTACAAGCAGCTGTTCAGTTTATCACTGTTTCCCATTCAGGGACAGATATAAACTCAGCAGCAACAAACCGAGGCTGTGAGCTGTAAAGACAGCCGAGTTCCTGAACGTGATCCGACCTTCCACTGCTGGGTAAACACGCTTCATGTCCGAGATGTATTTGGAAAAAACAGAAATGTCCATGTCACCTGCAAGAGGCGGGGAAAGGACAACTTGGTTAGTATTTGATGATATTTTATTAATAGAATGTTATGTCCTTGTTGCCTGTTCCTAAAACCACCTGTTCTTTGTTACAACAGTGGTATAAGATCTCTGAGACAGCTGCTGAGCAATTTTGAAAATATGCATCTGCTTTAAATAAAACATTCCCTCCACAAGTCACCAAGAGGTGACCTCTTAAAATGATTGGAGCGGGACAATTTCATAAGACATGTGATCACTGATGGATAAATTGCACCCTGCTGTGTCTTGCTTATAAAACAGCTGCAGTCCTACTGTCCTTGCATTCATTTCAAGTGAGTGAAATACAGTGAGACATTTAAATGAATATGACTGAGGGGAAGCTAATACAATTATATTGGTAGTTTTTGTTAATTGTTGCGCAGAATGAAAATACACACAAAACCAAGACAGTCTACAGCCATGGAAACACAGTGAAACATGCAAGCAAATTAAACTAGCTTCTTTCTGGCTGTCTTTATACATTGGTGACCTAATTTGCCATGTCAACAACATTTAACTAAAGGTAAATGCTCATCTTATCTTTCACAACTGAACCTCCTCTGCTGCCCACCTGTGGTATGCTTTAGTAACTCCTCCTTGATCATGGTAAAGCCATCACCTCCGCCCACCATGTATGAAGGCATGACCACAGTGTAATTCTTCTCCGGGTCTAACGGCTCGTACTTAGGCACACGGCACTTGGTGCAGAGCACGGACACAGACGCTACGCGCTGGTTCACCGGTTTGGAGAGGTCGTACTGAACGTGAATGCCTGGAAAGAGAAAATGTCCGAGAGAAAATAAGGAAATATTGTGTTCGCTTTGTTGTTCCCCAACGGACATCAGTAAAAAATAAAACCCTTAAAGGAATAGTTTGACATTTTGTGAAATATGCAAGAGTCAGGTGAGAAGATTAATAATGCTCCCGTGGCTTTCAGTTGAATATAAAGCCAATACTAGCAGCCAGTTAGCTTAGCATAAAGACTGGAAACATCTCCATCCAAAGCTAACAAAAATGCCTGCTACCAGTATCTTGTATTACTAGTACTACTCCTTATAATACAAAATCAGAAAAACAGTAACCGTTATTATTTTAGGAGACAAACAAACAGGTGTTGGTGGAGGAGCACAGGGACCAGAAGACAGACCTGAGACTTGAAGAAATTCTCCAGACATGCCTCCATATCTGTGAATGGAGTGTTCGAATGCTTTTTTCACTGTCGATCCCTTTATCTGGACCAAGTCCACGGTTCCTCCAAAAGGTAAGACGGTGAAGATCTCCTCCATAGTTATAGAACCTAAATGGAAGGGCAAATACTGGTGCATTATATAAAAAAAAAATACAACTGCAGCCAGTGCAAAATGGCCTTTGTAATTAAGTACCCAGTAATTCTGTAGAAAAAAAGTACCATTTTTGTGGTGCTCGTTTATGCCTGACCTTACTGAGCCACTATTCAGCATACACATGCCCACATGATTCCACTGCAGCTCACTTGAAAACCTTATATTGTGATAAATCTGAGAACAGAAAAAGTAGGGGGGGGAGTTATACAGCAGTCAAACTCTACTTCTTGGAGCGAGTTGCTCTCCTGAGGTTGAATGACCTTTTGTCACTGTGCCTATAGATTAAGTGGTATTTACATCCTCCAAACCGTTTCTTTTGTCTCAAACTGAATGGAGTGAAGGAGCAACTAAAGCTTTCTGAATGAATACTGTAAATGAATGAACAAATAAACTACACCTGCAATTATTACCATAGCATCACAGATCAGGTTTCCAAGGTTACACTCCCGAAATCGACACTCTTCAAACGTCCCATTGAGGTAGACTAAGGTCTGTCCTACATGTTGTGAGGAATAATGAGCCAAGTTTTTCTTCCACTTCTCAATGTCAGCCAGGACATCTGGGTCTGAAAGAGTTACAAATTGAGTAAAGCTTTTGATTGATGAAAACGTGTAAAGATGTACAGATTAATTATTGATATACTTGCACACAGATAGACCTGGCGTAATGTCACATCAAGCCATTTTTAACATGATAAAAATGTTTTAATGAAACAACTGAAAAGTAAAATATGGGCCATACCTTGAGGTATGCTGCTGTCCATTAGGATGGGGTTTCCAACAGCTTTTACCACATTCCCAGCTTTGTCAAATGTGACTTTTAAGTATCCAAGGTACTTCCCAAAGGCATAGGCCTGGACCACCGGCACGTTCCTCCCATCGTCAGACCTCACCATGAAAGGGTACGGCACTGCTGGCACTTCAGTGGATGGGGGCTTACCTGCCAAGACAGTTTGCAGTGCATTGTTTCTCACTTCCTGTTACAGTGAAGGTAAAACCATGCCTTTTGATCTTATTTGATGCATCTATGAAGCACAGTTTAAGTATCTGAGCATAGTGTAAATGCTTAAAAACTCAAACTTCTGTTGCTGAGTTGAAGAAAAACAAAAGTATAAAAGAGCTAAAAGATACAACACAGTTGGTCTTTTGTAAACCTATATGCCACTAGACCTGAATTGAATAAGATCTAATAAAAAAAAATTACCAGTATAGAGGAATGTGTTGGTGTGTCCTCCAATAACGACGTCAACCCCTCTCACGCGCTTGGCGATGTCTTGATCAATGTCAAAGCCAGAGTGGCCCAGGGCAATGATCTTATTATAGCCCAAAGTTTCCAGCTTATCGACCTGAACCTGAAGTGCCTCCACCTCATCCTCGAACTTTAGGTGCTGGCCTAACACACAGGGGGAACATGTAAACTAGGGCTGAAAAGTAGAAAACACATCTGTAGCGAGACACACTACTTGATAGACACTCCAGAGAGTGTTGTCAATGCAGGCTAACTGTACACATGGACTGCAACATGTGCCAGTAACACTTCATGAATCAAGCCTGAATCAATTACCTGGCATGGATAAGAAGGGGGTCTCTGTAGTGGTGTAGCCGACCACAGCCACACTCTCTGAGCCCACATTTATGACTGTGTAGGGCTGGTAGTAGCCACTGAGTTTCTCGGCCAGAGTCTGGTCAGGTTTTATGTTAGCACTCACCACAGAGCAATTTACCGTTTGGAGGAAGGGCTGGATCAGACCCTCCACTCCATTGTCAAACTCATGGTTTCCAAAAGCCTGAATTACAAAAGAGCATGTATTTTATTCACTAATAAACTCCAGTGATTTTATCAAATCAAAACTCTACAATTCTACTAGTATCTTATAGGAAAATGACAACCAAATATCAACCATATTTAGCTGTGTGGTTTAAAAAAAAAAAAAAAAATCACAATTAAAAGAGTATTTACCATAGCATCATAACCGAGTTTATTCATGAAGTGCGCTGCTTCGGCACCTTTATAGTAGTTGAACCAGACAGTTCCCTGAAACTGGTCTCCAGCATCCAGAAACAACACGTTCTTCTCCTTTTCCCGGATCTCCTTCACTTTAGTGAACCTCCTGGCCACCCCAGCGAAGCAAGGCTCCCCGTCTGAACACTTCCCCGAGTCCCCGCTGGTCTCCTCGATCCGGGCATGGTTGTCGTTGGTGTGAAGCAGTGTCACCTCGAAAGTCGACACTGTGCACGAACAGTTAAGAAACAGGCAGAGCGAAGTCAAAAGAGCGCACCGAGGAGTCCAGAGACGCATCGTGTCGTTGTGCGTAAAAACTCACCAGTGATCAAGAAGGTATAGCACATAAACAAGGCGTGGGCCTTTCCCCTGAAGAAGGATGTGTTTAAAGAACATAGGGATATCGGGGTCTCATTATGTTTGAAAAATCCCGTATGGAAAATTCGAAAACAAAATAAAGACAGGAAAAGTTAGAGTACCTATTATATGTAAAGGGTTTATCAGCTGTAACCGACGAGTTTTTACATTGTTAATACATACTGTTCCTAAGCTGTTAATAAGAACAACTTTGAGGTTGCTTAGTTGTAAATACATTATCAATCATTTACTTATGATTCCAAACATATTCAGATACCGCAAACACTTTAAATCTGTTTGTATTAGAGACTGACTTTTATCCACACTGAAGAAAATTCTTGGGGAAAGGGACTCAACCTAGTATTTGACTTTAAAAAAAGCAAGACCCTCCCCAGGTAATTCATATTTAGACCCTCTTTGATTTGGAAAAAATGTCAATACCCCTCCCCCAGTATCACGCAGCCTCTGACAAATAAGTTATAAAGTTATAAATTGACTAGGAAAGTCAATATTATTATTTAGTATCTCATAATTTATATCTCAATGTTGTCTTAGTGCGTGATAATTCTAATTAGCAGCTCATAGTTTAGACTTCACGTCAGTATTCTCATTTTATTTTCACCATCCCTAATTTTCCATGTATTTAATTTGGTATTTTTCCTGGGATATGGTTCCAGATGTGGAAAACCTCTCCTTTCCAGAAAAATTACAAATATTTTCTACAAAATCCTAACAATAGGTCACATACAAAACGTACAACTCTCCAGCATCTGATGTTATATGTGTTGCATTTATTAAGGGAGTTCTAAAGTTGAAGAGTTTCCTCTTTTTCATGAATGAATGCATGAATCACCACACTATACAATCTGTAAAAGTGGCCTTACTGATCTGTCTTTTCTGTTGAATACAGCAACCCTCACCCAGCAGCGCCCCTTAGTGGAGAGACTGGGACTAAAACACTAAAAGGTAAATCTTAAAGGTTAAACAGAGAAGCATTGGGACTCCCAAATGTTTAATCCTCATGAATTAAATATTCAAAATCTCTATTTAAAAAAGGTGTTTGGTGTATAAAAGTCCACACAACTGCTAAAGGTTGCATCTGGTGCAGTTTGACATAGGAGTTGACACAGTTACACAGATGGCTTCATACTCGTGAGGCCATAGTGTGAACACGCACGCACACACACACACACACACACACAGACAGACAGACAGACAGACAGACTGATATTGGGTTTCTCCAGCCTTTGAGGAACGCTGAACCTCCCCGTTCTCTTACTTCTCCTGCGGTTCATTGGGGCTAAAAGCACTTCATCGCATAGACCAAGACAACATTTTTATGTCAAGTAAACTTTAAGCAAATGCAGCTTTGATAAAGTGGGCTCACTTTCTTATATCCTTAATAGAAGTCTTCTTGGAAAGTGAGGCGAGAAGTGTTTAATCAATACATCATCTGTTCTTGCACCATCTTGCAAGCTGTTCTTGACTGCAACCCTTCAATTCTAACATTTGTACATGTACATTACCTACTTTTCCATATATAGTGTTCCTCCAGGATTATCCACAGCCTTGATTTTTCACATATTGCTGACAGGGTGATGGATTTCAGTGATGCTTGTTCCTGACTTCCACCCCGTGCCCGTCCTGCTCAGTGACCCTTTTCTTTTCACTCTCCACGAGGCATCACCCACACCAGAGCTGATGTGTACTATTAGCACTTGTCGGCCCACTCAGGAATAGTCTGGCCGCCTCCTCTCGTTATCACCCTCTGTCTCTTCCTTTACACAAACCTCACACATACAGTATATATAAGTAAACACACAATCAGACAGCTTATACCTCCAGGAGCAGGAAATCAATCTCATGCTCACATAATCAAGTCATATTCTCCTCATATCACAGAGGACCATATCAATTACAATGTTTGCAATCTATACCGCCGGGTAATCTTCCGTTGATTATTGAAATGAGGCCATCTGTGATACTGTAGCAGCATGCTGTGAATATTTAGAGAGTGAATGAAGTGCATTATGCAACAGAACGTCAGTGACTGACACAATGGTATCACTGCAGCACCATTGCCAGGGCTTAATAAATCAATTATATGCTTCCCTTTTTCCTCCTCAAAGTGTGGCCCAGTTCCAGCTCTTAAAAATGCTGATGAAGCTCATAACTGCCTGCAGTCAGTCTCCCATCTGACCATGCAGTCTCCAAATGGACTCGGCCACTTCCACTCCAGCAAAAAGGAGTCTGACCGCAGTAAAAACAGGCCTGCTACCAATCAGTCAGTCATCATCACCACTTAGCTCATTTCCGGTCACATGTTTTCTTGCAGGGAATATAATCTGCCCTATATGGTGCATTTAAGTGTACACTTTTTCACCTCTCCTTCCTGGTAGCTGTGTGCTGAAATGTGTGAGCAGCCCTGTGACCCACACAATATTCCCAGAAAGGGTCTCCCAAAAATGGAGCTCCAACAGTGGCACAGTCCCCCTCCATATATGGTGGCAGTGGCACCAGCTCCTTTATATGATCATCATATCTTGGAGAGTTAGAACCACAAAAAGCCTCCAGTTTTAGAAGCCCACACCTCTCTCGATTCATTTTTAGCAGGGGGCCTCTGAGGGCTGATTGGCGGAGCAGAAGGCACCATATGCCATCAGACCAGGCTGTTGCACACTTTAGTGGGACGGGTTCTGCAGGTTAACATGTGTCCTAAATTTGATTCCCTCACTGTACGCAGCCTTCAGATGGTAGAGGAAGTATTCAGATCCTGTGCTGAAGTAAAAACATACTCCTTTACAAATAAAAGTCCTGCATTAAAATACCACTAAAGTAGTACATCAGTGTTAACTGCCAAATATATTTAAATATAGAAAGTGAAAGTAGTTGTTATGATCAGCAAGTGAGGACCCAAACCCAGAGAGTGAGGTTTTAAGAGAATGGGACTTTTTCTCTTTACTTTTTGTACACACTGCAGCTGCCCTAGCACAGTAACACACTGTTGCAGTTTGCATTAATTTGGGACATCATACTTCCTCATTATATTGCACCTTGAACTCAGACCATGTTGCTCACGTATCTGCTGCGCAGAGGATTGTGGGTCAGAATAGACAGAACGCATACAACCGGATGCAGTAGGACATCCTGGTATTTTTGCTTACTGCATTTGACACACTATGTATTGGGAATCTTTTAGTATGGGTATTGGAATGCACAGTGGGATTCAATGCTGAGGTTGGAAGATGTAGATGTAGATGGGGGAATGTCTGGAGGTATGTAGGAGGGAATGAGGATAGCAGAGGAGGGTCAGGGCATGGAGGAAGAGGAGCGAGGCAGAGGTAAGGTTGTTGGTGAGCAGGCAGGTGATGCAGGCAGACTGGCTGCGAGGCAGGTGGAGATGAAAAAAAGGTAAAGCACAAAAGCATGGCAAGGATAAGTTACAGTAGGAAATATCACTAGGAATGGCCTGAGCACAAGCACCTATAACTAGAGTTGAAACAACAATCTGGCAATGAGTGGCTGGAGAGCTGGAGTAGTACTGTGGAGTTGATGAGTAGATGGAAGGCAGCTGTGCTGACTGGACAGGTGAGGTGAATGAGCCGTAATCAGGAGCTGGGAGAGTGCCAGGAAGGGAGCCGCGACCACGCCACATACATCAGACAGGGAGGAACGGGAGGAAGAGGGAAACACGAGAGAGAAACAGGTGCACGGCTGTGTCAGTTGTGTATTATGGGATGGTCATTTAAAATGCAATGATTTGTATGCAGCAATTTAAAAGAGTAGTCTACTTCAATGATTTAGCATTGCACTACTATAACTGCGACTCAAGATGCACAGTTAAAAAAAAGGATCGAAATCGTTGCACCGTCCTTCAACATTATATTTTAACTTTCTTGAAAAAATCTCGAGCATCTTAACTGTAATGCACATTCATTTTAACCCTAAAATGAGAAAAAGATTGTATAAGGAAGTAAATTGTGAATAAACAGAGAAGTGTTTAACTCTATATTTTATTGTGAATGTCCTCAAACTATATAGAACTAACCCATGAACAAACTGTCAGTGAGGTGTTTTAATATGCAGCCTTCAGATGTCAGCTTGTAATGAGCCAAACAAGAAACAGATTCAATGCTTTTTAAATGCAGACTTCCTACAGCGACACACAGCTGTACACATGAGATGCTTTTAGCTTCCAGGTTCCAAACATGGCTGACCTAGCTGCTCCGCTTCGTCATTTCTCCCGTTTATCGTCACGTAAACACTTGGATGAGAAGGAGCCATTCCCTGCACTGATGGTTTTTTGGTAGGTGGAGCGTGAGGGTTGATTCTCTTAACAAGGGATCTGCCCTGATTTTGTGTTTGCCCTATTTGGTCTCAGTCTCTCCAGCTGTCAGTTAAGGATAGAAATAGATGACCACAATAACTAAAAGGTCATTCCAAAAATGTGTTGAAAGTGGTGCTGATTAATAAACTTCAGTCAGAGACAATGTTTGCCGAAACTCAGTCTAATTTCGTGTTAATATAATTGTAAGTGACAAAACCACAGAGAATTATTACCTGACTCAGTAGTTTCTCTCTTGTTGAGTTTGAACATCTTTCAACTCATTGTTTTGGTTTAAATTGTTGAGTGGAACTCAACCTGGGAAACAATGCACTTTTCTAATCTCAGACATCCTATAATGCAGACCCCACTACAGCTTATTTTCAATGCCAACTATTTTTGGCAAGAACTTGATCCATTTAGTAACCGACCGAACAGTTTTGTGCTTGCATACTCCTACTTGAATGCTTTGAACACCCATTTGTTTCAATATTCATGGAACATTCATCACATACCACAAAATAAATGGATTTAAAAAATCCACATCGTCCTGTGCTTGTAGGTGGTGTAATGTATCGCCTTTAAGGCTCGCTGGATACATTATTACCCGACTAAAAATAGGACTTTCGGGGCCGGTGTGAGATTGGATGAAGCCAGCTACTGCGCTGTGCTGCAATGTGTTTGTGTGATGAGGGGAGATAACAGAAACAGAGTCACAGATATTGCCCCCATGCCGCTGATGCTGCTGCTGCCACTGAACTGGGTCACTCACGCTGCAACCTTTTTACGCAGGAAACTGCAACTAGGAAACATAGCATCAAATTTGGATGACAGAACAGAGCATGTGTTTTTGTGCAAACTGTGGTAATGGTGGCAGTGTTGTGCCCAGTTCTGTTGCATTTAGCGGTCAAGGTCAGTCAAGGGGTACAATCGTGAACTCACAGGAGGGTCTACTGCCTCACTACTACTCTCTGCTGAGCTCGGATACACACAAATGTCTGTTTGTCACTGTCACTGGAATTCAAGTGCAAAACACAGACTAACTTTACTAAAGTTTTTGTTGACTTGACAATTTGGGATCAAAATATACAATATAATCAAGTTAAAAAGCAAGGTTCATGGCAGCTGTCTCCCCTCAAAAGCAATGATCTAGGATCGGAGAGAAAGCACATTTATGGATTATTTTAGTGTTTGAGTCAATAAACGAGTCTTTGTGATTCCATGTGCATGAGGCCAAGTGTAAACTGCTTTTAAAGTGAAGATTAAATACAGGAAAACTGAATTGCAATTCACATGAATGCACTGTTACAGACATCAGTGAAAGACATGCATCTGTATTCACTCAAAAAGCCTTTGATACTTTTATTCCAGGGTGACAGCAGCACACGTTGTTCCGAGACTTTGATGGTCTGCTACCTTGTTGTGCCATAGATTGCTCATTAAAACTCCAACCACTCCAGATGAATGCATCGTTGATTTGCACCTCAGTGAGATACCTTCATGCTACATCAAACTCTAAATGACGCTTAACTGTTTGACACAAATGCTCTTGCCAGTTATTTATTATTATGTGCTTGTCTGAAGTTCACAACAAACGTTAATGTAACTGCTGAGAACACTAGCAAGCAGAGCCATGGCCAAGAATGGTTTGGTGGGTATACTTTATGGGCTCTTATTTCCGTATTTTCTATAAATCTAAATTTGACTGCTTTTCAGTCTTTCTCCCAACAGAATAGTGTAGAAGGCTTTAACTTTATGCACATCCTGGTCAATGAACCAAATAAATGAAATAGTAAACACTAAACAATTGTTGGTGTCTGGCCAAAGTTTTCCTCTGGTGTAATGAGGCTCTTGTTTTTATCTTGTGTATTTTGTACATTTAATGTGCTGCTTAGCGCTTGTTGACTGTCTCTATGGTATAGAAACTGTTTTTTTTAACTTGTAGTCCATCACACAGGAATGAAATTCCCTTGATGTTTGGCCACACATGTTTAACTGATTGACACAAGTGTTCTGCATCAGTGCTAATCAAGTGATGCTCCTTGAACCTTTTGTGCTGCTACATTCACCTGCTACCTGTTCTTTACTTGAAGGTCTCTGACCGAAAGCTCGCTTTATTCATTTTTATTATTGCACAGATTTGAGTGTGCAAAGGCTTTTATTTTAATCTCCAGCACCTCAGCAAAGTCGGATACGATAAGCAGTGTTTTCTTCTCTATTCATACCATTTCTATTTAGAATGATGCTTTGATGTAATACCCAAGTATGGTGGCCCCACTTCCTGATAAAGCACTCATTATAGAGTATGGAGTTGTAATTTATGGCATTATGCTTTATCGTGTTCTGAGTTCTGACTTTTTTATGTAAAACTGAAGCATACAACTGTACCAACTGCTTCAATAAAAATATGGCAACACTTTATTTGGCATTATGTAAACATATAAACAACACAAAGACAATATAATGCAGTTGTAAGTAAGTGTTATTAATAACAACTCCTCCTATGAGCACCCATAAGTCGAGATCGTTGTATAAATAAGTAATGAGTCACAATAGTATGGAATGTGTCATCTTAAGAGAAAACATAACTTTTGACAAAGACTGTATATTAATAAACAATTACAATTTTCCTTAATGCTTTGTACAACTACATTAGTGTGTTATAAACCATTTATTGAATGTTAATATACTCCTTATAAATGATATTATTATACATGGTATTATAATGTATTAATCCTTAACTAACATTAATAACAAGAGACTTGATGGCTTATTAAAAAGAAAGTTTTGATGCTTTATTAATTACTTGACTGTTAATGTCTCAATAATTAATAATGATAAAGTATCATCAACAAAACCATTAGTTACAACTTATAAACCCTTTATGAAGGCTGACTTATTAGAAAGTGATAGTAGCATGTTTTGCATTCTGTGATATAAAAGATAGTATTTTATGGCATACATTGTACAACATGTGACAAATGAGACCCACTGGGCACTATGACCCAGCAGATAGCCTACTCTTCATAGAGAGAAAAAACAAGGCTGTGATGATCAGTGGTGCTTGTTGATGTCAGAGTCTGTATAAAACTGAGACTTAGGGTTGGCTCACCATTCAACCACAGGGGGTCTGGGGAAAAACAGCTCTGGAGAACTTCTGCCCTACATGCGGATTATCTGTGACATCTTCCCAGATGTTGGGACATCAGAACGCTCTGCTCATCCTTTTTATTCACACAAATTTTTTCCGTCTTATATTTTGTTTACAACAGTTGAGAAGTTTTCTTTTATGGCTACGAAAAGGAAAAGTTTGAATAGCGGGCAATGGATATTTACTTCCACGATGTGGCATCTGCACATTAAAACCTGATGTAGCAGAAGAAAATGAGATTGAAAGGAATCTATTTTTATGTTTCAGACTGATTATGCCAGTTATCTGACTGGATGGCACGGTTAAGGAGACGTCCATCGGGAGGAAGGACACCCTAAATGTCAGACATCTTAGAGGGCGACATAAAATATGAGAAAAAAGTGACTAAAAGTGATGGAGCGCTCCGATCAAGTCGAGCCAACTCTGCCGGTGAACACCACGAACAACAGTTTTATTACAGATTCATCAATTGTGCATGTCAGCGCGGAGAGTCTAGCCTCTCGGATCAGTCTGGCGGTGATTCTCTCCGTTATCACACTCGCCACCACTTTATCTAACGCGTTCGTCATAGCAACAATCTCCCAGTCGAAGAAATTGCAAACTCCCGCGAACTTTCTGATCGCCTCTCTGGCCATCACCGACCTGCTGGTGTCTATTCTGGTGATGCCCATTTGCGTGCTGTATACGGTCATCCACACCTGGACGCTGGGGCAAATTGTGTGCGACATCTGGCTCTCCTCGGACATAACGTGTTGCACGGCGTCTATCCTGCACCTGTGCGTAATCGCTTTGGATAGGTTCTGGGCCATCACGGACGCGGTGGAGTACTCCAAAAAGCGCACGCCGGGGCGCGCAGCCGGGATGGTGGCCACAGCCTGGGTCATTGCTATCTCCATCTCCCTGCCACCTCTCTTCTGGAGGCAGGTGAAGGCGGATGAGCTGACCAGCTGCAGCGTCAACACGGATCACATTTTCTACACCATCTACTCCACCTTTGGGGCTTTCTACATCCCCACCTTGCTGCTTATTGTCCTCTACGGACGGATATACGTCGAGGCCCGGAAACGGATCCTGAAGCAGTCCCCCAAGAAGTTTGGGAAGAGACTCACCTCGGCGCACCTGGTCACCAACTCTCCTGGGTCCGTGGCTTCCACAACCTCTCTGCAGTGCGGGAGACACGACACCCCGTCCAGCGACACCGGGTCTTCAACAAGCGAGAACCAGGTGAAAGTGACGGTGTCAGATGCGCTTTTGGAGAAAAAGCGCATTTCAGCAGCCAGAGAGAGAAAAGCGACCAAGACTTTGGGGATAATCCTTGGTGCTTACATAGTTTGCTGGCTGCCGTTTTTCATTTACACATTGGTGGTGGCCACATGTGACACATGTTTTAACCCCGAGTTATTTGACTTTTTCACGTGGTTGGGATATCTGAACTCTCTCATCAACCCCATCATATACACTATGTCCAATGAGGACTTCAAGAAAGCTTTCCATAAACTTGTGCGCTTTAGATGCTGCCGGTTGTAAACGAATGTTCCTTCAGTCTACAATAAGATTGATATATGTATTTTTTGATATGGAGTTCTAAAAATGTAAAAAAAAAGAGTTTAAAGATTAAAAAGAATGTAGAATAGTAAGAGTGCAATAAACACTATAATTTCTGGGACTCATAGACCAATGTAAAAAAAGTAAAACTTGATTTAAAATGACAACCTTAAGTAAATATATTAAGTAAATTGTTCAACATAATTCCCATGTATTTAAAGCTAAAACCAAGGCATGTCAAATGATATAAGTATATAAAAAGCTTATTTTAATTATAAAACAAGATTTTATTTTGAAAGAGTGGCGGAGAAGAAATCCAACTCTACGCACCTCACAACATCACTAAAACGTGTCATAAAAGCTCCTCTTGAAGAGCAAATGTAATACATTGTAGGATAAATTCAGTGATGGGTTGTTAGCGTCTGTGTCGATTCCTGTTTGGATGGTATTTATTAGTGTGTATTCCCACGCGACTACTGACACATTAATGCGAGTAGCAGCAGAGATCATGTTGACATGATAAGTCAAGAATATATTTAAAAAAAATAACCACCCATGATCCTGTTTCTCATTATGTGTTACAATATGGAAGTTTTATTTTTTAAAACTACATCAATATATCTATGTATTCTGAGAAATGATACCAGTGTCATACATTTTTATTGTGGTCACGGGCTGCTCGCTGCCACCCTATGGTTGTCTTTTGTCATCTAGAAAGGCACACTCATGCAGTTGAAAAAAAGAGAACAGACTCATATCAGTGTCAAACAAAGAAACTGCAGCTGATATTTACCCAGCAGCTGAAAGCTGATTATAAGTTCAATTTTGCTGTACAAACACCACCTCGTTTTACTGTTTGTGTGTGTGTGTGTGTGTGTGTGTGTGTGTGTGGAGGGGGGGGGGGGGGTCTGTTTGCTGCTACATTAAATCTGTATCTACAGCATGTTATGTTCATGTGTGAAATGGTTTGCCACCTCCTGGCTATTGAGACTGGCCTGCAGAGCTCCAAAAATAATGCTGAGGATTTGTCAGCATTATATGAAATAAAAGTATGTTGTTCTAGGATTGTATCTGTTCACATTCAGAGATGCTGTGCAATAAAGGCTTGAAAGTATTTTTTTTTGTTCTATGAGTGGGAGTTTTAATGCAGTTTTAATTATTAAAGACTCTTCAAAACTTCTTCCAAATCAGCAGTAAAAACATTTCTTTCATTGAATGTTGCATGTTGAAAGCAGCACAGGTATTCTGACAGGCGACTTGTAGTTTTGAAAAGTGTTACCTTGGAACGAAATGAGACTTTAGATTAATGCTCCCAGGGTATCACGATGATGTCAAAATGAAATCCAACAACCTCTTCAGGCACTTGCAGAACGTGGCAGAGCATTAAACAATACAGATTAATGTGGATGAATGTGCGTCATTTCAGTTCCTCTTGACGGTCCTCTCTAATGTCACGGTCTGTTTTGGCTGAGATTCTCACTCAGGTTTGAACCCTCCACCATCTTCCTGCCCTCTCCGTCTCTCTGCGGCCTTCCTGCAGGCAGAGGAGGACACGGTTTGCTTGGTGAACGGCTGTCACAGTTCAATAAGTCACGAGAGGGACAGCGGGCTATGCTCTTCTGGTGTACTTCACACACACAGAAAGGGCCACTCGTATTGTCAACACATGCAAACACACACGCTTTTCCATATATGAATTTTCATATGACTCGTTATGCATGAAAGTTGAGTGCACCTGAGTAGGCATTCAAAGCGTTTCCTGGACTTTCTGCATCAGTTAACAACATGTTGAAAGACTGATGAAGTTGAATCGTATGATATTTATAAAATATACATATCTTTCCCCAGGAGTATTAGACTTAAACAACGAAACTTCTGTTGTACAATCAGCAATAACAAGCCCTTTGGATTTTAAGTTACAGGTTCAAACTCTTTGCAGATCATCCACGTATACAAGCATGTAAACAGGAGCTCCTGAACATAATTATAAAGTTTATGTTTAATTATCTCCGTAAAGAAAGGTTTATTATTAAGGAGCACATTTTCCCTCAATGACACTAAGAAAAGGTAAACAAAATAAACACTTCAAATTACAGCCACCTGACAAAAGTGAATCAACAGGGACACGATTCACAGCTGTGCTTGACCTCCTTCATAATAAGTTAGCATCTTTTTTTGCTTAAAGAAGGTTGATTGGGGTGTGCACATCCAGTTGCAGGGCAAAAATAAAACCCAGCAAACAAAGGAAAAGAAGAGAGTGTCTGCACACTAAAAGTTTCAAGCTCACAACATTTTAATGCAATGTTTTGACCTGCGGTCTGAGGTCTTCGTCAGGCAAACATCAGTCTGAGAAAGAACTTGTTCACAGACTCACAATACATAATGTAACATGTTAGCACACTGTAGCCCATATCGGACAAATGTGATGCACAGGTTATTGCCATTAACAAACATTGTCATTACACAAACAGGATAGCACTGGTGTGCATACTGTAGATGTCACACAGTCTGTCTAAATGCATGCAGAGATTGATCCATTATGAAGCAGCTAAATCTTTAATGCTGAGAGACTGTTGATGTTTAGCAATAGGGTTTATGATTTTGTGTATCCAAAGAAGTATTGCATGGCTCATGTAGGTGCTGCTGCTTTACCTCCAGCTGCAAAACAGTACACATTATCCTTTTTTTGACATTGGATGATTGCTTTGTGCGTAGCAAATACATTAACTGGACGACCACTTGTTTTCTATTAGCTGAATGTTCTGCATTACTGGTTTGCCACAGGTCTGCTGTGGAGTGAAGGACATTGCTGATGGAACAGCTAGTGAGGCTGAACACATGGATAATGAACCTATAAAATATTCTGTCACTGAATGTAGTTTTGGTGAACAGCTTTATTGTTTCACCCTTTCTGGTTGAAGAAGGCTCGGAGCATTCATCACCTGAAAAAATGGAGACACAAGGGCCCATCTGCTTTTGATGAATTACCGTACCAAGGTGATAACAACTGGCCTTTGGCAGCAAGAAAAAACGAGTCAGCAAGGCCCCTAATAGGCAACACGAGGAGGTAAGGTGATTGAGGGTGAATAACAATTAGATATCAGTTTTCTGACATTCTTAGTCTGACGCCAATTCACCTGCACACAGCAAACGTGCTGTTGTGGCAATATGTGGCTTTTTATCATTTACATCTACTTTTAAAAGTATTTTGATATAAATAAGAGCCAGTATGGTTTTCTTGTAAAAATGTACCTTTTGTGATTTATTTTCCTTACATATAGTTTTGCACATTATGGTGTGATTTTTCACTGAGAAGTGCACACTGTGTATTACTGGGAATGTGTGTGTGTTAAATCACAGCCTTTAGTCATGTGTGTTCTTTCCGTGCTTCACAGCAGATCCATTGCCACAAGCAGTTTCAACGAAGTAGGTTAGTTTCGTTTTGGAGCTTCTCCTCCAGCTCACCTAAATGTCTAATAATATCTTTCTCTGAATCATAAAATGGGATTTCCCTGCAAACCAAATAGCAGATACACTGTGTTTGCCTTTTGCTAGAAAATCCTAAAAATTGAGTAAAATAATCTCACCATGTGGTCCGATTGGCTGACTGGGTTTACACCTGTGGGACTGTCGCTAGTGGGGCTTGGTGAATCTATCACACTTAACATCTATTGTGGCCTGACAAGCAATATATCACCAAATTAGGCAGCTATATGTAGTGGTGGTAGAGGACGTGTGTATGCTGCTAAATGATCCATCCATACTGCATATGCATTAAGGGCCCTCAATTAATTACCAGAGAGAGAAAGAAGGGTGTTCTCTGTTTTCCTGCACGTTGGTCATGGAAAAACCTCACCTTGTCTTTTTTTGTGTTTAATCATGAATCTACGTGGAAAATATGATCACTTGGATTTGTTAAACCCCATTAAAACCGATCCTGCGAACAAGTTTCTTAAAAACCTGACATTTTGGAGATACAATGTTTTCACTTGGCAGCACTTGGATTATTGCATATCATGCATTTTCAAAGAATCAGAAATCCTTTATCACCTGTAGCAAATGTACATTATTTTGATGGTGGAGATGCTGAGATTTATAGTGTCAAAATATACTTTAGAGCTGGCAAACTACACACACACTGTAATGTTGTTACTCTATATGCCCCTCCAGTGGGAAATACCTATGACGCCCTGGTTTAAAAGTAAGGGATTAAAACGTTAAAAGGAATTTCCAAATAAAGTTGAATGAAAATAATTTGGTAAGGTAAGTCAGTTGTATAAATAGTTAAAATAAACAATATTAAGGGCTAACAGTGAGTAAACTGATAATAAGTGCACAGGTTGTGACTTTAGTTTCAGCAATACTGGTTGCTGTAGGTATCAGTCATCCGTCAGTGTCACCTGCCGTAGTTGGTCGGAGGTCAGGATGAGGCCGGTAGAAAAAACAACACAAAACAAAGAGGAAACATGCAGAAGGAAGGAGAAAGAGAGCTAGGTTGAGTAAAAGATGGAAAAATAGTAGCAGGCACCAACATGGATGTTTGTTAAATCAATGTCTGTTAATTAGCCTGAACATTTGTGTTTGTTTGTATGTTCACACAAGCCTGAAATCGCGTAGCAGTTAGCCGCAAAGCTAGCGGGAGTAAAGATGCTAAATGCTCAGCCAAGGCTGCTACACAAGTGGATAGAAACAGTCTGCAGCAGTTTGCTCAAGTTACCACGTGTGACAAGTGAAAAAAATGACAAAAATTAAAAATATTCTGGAGTCAAACTTTCTGAATCTCAATGTCAATAAAACTGAAGTCATTTATTTGGACTAAGCATTTGACCAACATCATCGTGGCCCTTTGACCTCTACTGTTTAACCATTCAATTCAGGATTTAAGTGTGACAAATAAATCAATGAGGTAGGTAAATTATGCTTAGTGTTTAATAACAACCAAACGTCTCTTTATTGTTCAATTGTTATTCTAAAATTGGTTTACAGCAACTTGAGCATTAGGGTTGGGTGCCACAAATGTTTGAAATCAAAATGTGCTTTCAATAAACATATTTAAAGGAACAGTTTGACAATTTGGGAAATATGCCTCTACACTCTCGTTCAGAGCGTTAAATATAAAAGGTTGATACCACTCGCATGTCTGTGGTTGACTTGCGCTTTAGAGGTGCTGGTATGTGGATTTGTTACTTTTTGAAGTATTTTCCCCTGTTCTCAGTCTTTATGACTGAGATATTATTCCAAAACACCCAAATTCCATAAAGCAACAAGACATACACAAATTCGGTTTAATGTGGCACACAAAGTCAAAACTAAGAGAGAAAACGAAGCTGTTGTCCAATACGGAGCTGGCGGGAGTTAAGGAGTTAGTTGTCATGTTCTTGGCTGCACTGGAGATGCCCCCCCGCTCAGAGGTCAAGCGCACTCAACTTTATTCAGTCCTCGTTAAAGTGCAGAGACCTCTACAACAGAGAAGATAGCATTTCAACACAAGGTCATTTTTACTTCTCTGTATATCTCAAATATATTTGCATTTAGTGATGCATTAGTTTGGTATGAAAGGAGTTGTCTAAGTGATCGTTGCACATACACGTCACATGCAAGTCATTTGTTTGAGTCTGCAATAATAAAGCAACACATAATAAAAACATCACACATAGATGGATTTCTGTTTCATTAAGAGCCGTGAAGAATATAAATGAGGTTTTTACCTCACCGCGGGGACAATTTACATATTGTCTATTAACCTTTTGATATTAAGCGTGAGACGGTGCATTGAGACAGAAACACGGCTAGCATGTTTGTAATTTCCCATTTTCACAAGCAATAACAACACAAAATGTCACTGAA